AGAACGCCGGCAGCTTCCGCCAGACCCAGCCAGGAGCTCTGGCTCCTCACCCTGCAGCACGGCGTCCCTCCAAAGAGGGGTGCCCACATGGAGATGAGCCCAAGGCAGGCATCGGATCCGCACCGAATGCACTCATTAATGGAAATGCATTCAAATGAAGACTCCTCACGCAGAGATAGGCAAATGGCTTGCAGTGATTTTTACGCCGCACCTGCCCAGCTCTGCTCTGACAGCAGCAAGGTGAGGCACCCCTCATTTGTTTGCTTTAAACACGGAGCGAAGGCTTTCATCAGGGAAATCTCTGCCTCTGGGAGCTCTGACAGACAAGCTCTCCGCAGCGTGTTTTGGCTTTGGTAACACAACTTCTTCCAATTAAGTTTCACTTAGAGGAGATATCCTGCTCACCATTACACTCCCTGCAAGAAGTGGTTCTGCACCTGGGTGAAAAACGAGGGGTTGGGGTTGTGCTGAGACAAGAGCATAAAATCACAGAATCCACAAGGTTGGAAAAGACCTGTAGGATCACCGAGTCCAACCCCAGCCCATCCCACCTGCCCACTGCCCACGTCCCTACAGATGATGGACTGGATGACCCCAAAGTGGTCCCTTCCAACCTCGCCCATTCTGCATTCTGTGAAGCGGTCTGCAGCACTGGGGCTGGGATGTGAACTGCTCTGGGATGAGATTCCACTTGTGCCCCTTGGCAGCCCACCCCACACCAAGCACTGCCCCTCTGGTAGCTCTGCTGTCCTCGCCTCGCTTCCCGAGGTCACTGCTGCGAACTGTTAGTCACCTCCTGCCTGCCCTCACATTGTGATTCATGTTGAACCTGCCTTGGAGCTATTATTTATTTAAGCCCCACCCTAATGTGTTATAACGTAGAAGTCTGAGAATGCAAAACTTAAACAGCCAAATATAAGCAGAAAATGCTACAGGATGAGCTAGGGAGCCATGGGCACTGCCGTGTCCTGACAGATGGTGGAACTTGGGAAGATGGACTGGAGCAAAATTCAGCTCTCAAATATACATGTATACATTTTTTAATACATACATGTATTTTTGAATCATTTTATCCAATCCATTTTATCCATTTGAATCCATTTTATCTTGGAATGGACAGCCCTCAGGGCAAGACCAAAGTAGCAGTCTGCCAAACAAGCCTATATGTGGCCTGTTGTTGTGACATATTTCATATAACCAGAGTGATTTACTGCAAAAGCCAAAGGGAAAGGGGGGAGGATGAGGATGGGCAGAGGGAGCTAACCTGCAAGCCCAGGCATGGAAGTAATGGGAGCTGCTGCAGTGTGGGGCAGAGCCAGCTCCCCACACCAAGCTCCGGGGGCTCACAGCACTGAGCAGATTCCTCTTCCTTCACCAAAACCTCACTTTTACTGCTCTCATTCATAAAAACTGGCTCCATGCAAGAGCCAGCGCCTGGTTCTCTCGGAGGCCTTCAGCACCAATAAACACCAGCCAACAAAGGAGAGACGGAGCGGACGCTGCGACCTCAGCTCCCGCTGCAGCGATCACAGAACCACCGCGCTGCAGAACGAGAGGCAGCGGGGCCGGCAGCGCAGTGCCAGGATGCTGCCTGCCGTCCCAGCGGGTGCTGCCAGCCCTGCACAGGCAGCGCCGTTTCCGCAACGCGCGTCCCCAGGCGAGGGGAATACCGGCAATACCGGCACGGAACCGCACGCGGGGCCGGGTGATTCATCCCAGCTTGTAAAAACAGGAGACGTGGAAGTCTCTTTGTCTCGCTGGCTGCCGTGCGAGCCGACAAACTCCTCTTTGTGAGACGCTCGGCCGCTTGAAAGGATATTAAACAAAGGAAGTTACAGCAAAGAGACCCGAAGACTAAACAGCTTGGCACCACTTTGGAGAAACATCACGTCTGAAGGGGACGTGCTTTGGGGCTGAGACCCGCAGGAGCAGAGCTGTGCCACACAGCACATACACTGCTGGCAGCGGCCCCGAGGGGCTCTGCTGGGGTTACGCTGCTTATCCACCACTGCTCCGACAGCACAGCGTGGCCTTTGCTCTCCTCTGCCCTTTGAAACACAAGCAGAATGCAGCGGGCTGTGTTTATCTCACCGACTTCTGGCTGACGTGTGACAGCGGGAGCACGCGGGGCCGTCCCGCTGTGTCCCAGCCTGGGGTCAGGTTGTTGGGCACTCGGTGGCACGGGGCCTGCGCTGCCAGCCAGCACTGCTGAGCTGAATGGGGACTCGGGTGATTCGCTCAGCATTGTGCAGCATGCAGGGAAGGGTCCCCCTGAGAAACACAGAATGACCCAAGTCGGAAGGGACTCACAAGGATCATCGAGTCCAACTGGAAATGAGCTCCCAAAGCAGCGAGGGCACGAGGAAGGCACCTGGTGACAACACCTCTGACTGCTCCAGACCAGAACACTCCCACAGGCTACGAATCAGGCAGTGTGCCCATCTAGTCACTGCAAACAGCTCCCAGGAAGCCTGGTGTGCCTTCAGGACAAGGCAGCTGCTCTTAGGTGCAGATCCATCCATGCCATATGTGCTGCAGGTATATGCTATATGATATTGAGGACCCATAATGACCCGGGAGCTGCCAGGCCCAGTGCTGCAGCTGGGAAATTCTTCCCCTCGTTGTTATGCAGGGATGGATGCGCTGGGCATTGAACCCCTGGAAGAAGTGGGGCTGGGGGAGCAGACACAGTGCAGCATTGGGGGTGGGCACTGAGAGAGAAACCCCCTCTGTCAGGATGGCTCCTTCTGGGACTGCACTGCCCGAGCTGGGAGCTGTGCATGAAGATAAACACAAGAAATTTATATATATATATATATATATATATGAAAAATAGTAATATGAATCCATGTGCTCTGCTTCCACAGCAGCACTGTCCCCCACGGAGCTCTAAAGGCAGTTTTGTTTTGCTGTGGTGCTGTGCTCTGCTGGCAGCTGAGGATTGCCTGATGCTGGGAGAGGAAATTCCCTTCGTGTTGGCTGCGTTCCCCACAACCCGGTGCTTTTCCAGGTAGTTTTTCTCTGATGCAGAAAGCTTAGTGTGCCAACCACTGGGAAAGAGAACGGCAGGCAGGGTGTGGGGCCGTCCCGCAGCCCGCAGTGGGCAGCAGAGCTGCTGGGGACGCACACAGCCAACAGAGCTCCAGCTTTGCCCACTTCTGCCCGATTCCCACTCACAGCACAGAGTCCCACCGACGTCCCTCAGCCCACGTGGGTCAGGGCAATGGGCTCGGTCACTGCTGGCACCATTAGCCACACGTTTCCTCGCTTCCCCCGCTATTAACTCACATCCTAAAAAGGCACACGCACACGCTCTACGCGCTGCCTTCCGAAACCCATCAGCACACAGCTGGGATGCGTCCTGCCCGGTGCTTCCCCCCGGCAATTCCTTTTGGGTGCAGCGCTTCTGAGAATCGCCCTGCAAACACGTCCACGGAGGTCCTCCCTCTCCGCCCGCTGTTGTTGCAACTCTGGGTTTTCTAAACTACGTCTGTCAGGAAGGAGACAGGAAATTCGAGTCACACTTGCAACAGCTGTGCCGTGCCTACTATCGCGCTCGGTGACGTCGCGGGGCCGGCGTGGCTGTGGGCCAGGAGCTGGCGGTGAGGAGGTCAGCGGATCGGTCGCTGTTTGTGCCGCACTGTGCCGGCCGCACGCTGCGCCTCCTCGCTTTCTTCCTATCTCGGCTGTTTCTCTTTCCGTTTTTTCTTTCTGCTCTGTGGAGCCCGAGCATCCTGTTTTCAAAACATTCGGGCTGTTTTGCTGCTTGCCGGCGATAAATGGAAATGCCTTCTGCCGTCATTTGGAGAAGAACCCAAATAGGGTTTTTTTTCAATGGGTTCACCCGAAGAGGTGACCCCATGGCCGACCCACAGCTGTGCCCATCGCCCACTGGGGGAGCAGAGCACAAGGGTTCTCTTTTGCTGACAACAGTGCTGGGTTGAGCAAAAAGCATTTGGGGAACTTTACTATGAAAGAAAAGTTTTGGGAACAGTTCTGCTTGGCCACGTGGACAGATCAAAACTTTTAATTACTCCAATCACCTTTCACCTTCACCAAGGCAGAGGTGGCACTTGGCAAAGATGAAATGTCTCCAAGAGAAGGGCACTGATGCCCACCCCTGGGACACAGCCTTTGGGCACAGCTCGCCCCTCAGCCCAGCTCCTCCCACAGCCTCCAGCCCGTTTCACTCGCACCAACTCCAAAAAAAATAATCCCGTATTCCTCACTCGAAAGCCCCATCTATAAAACTTTTATTGCTTCCTTTGCCCCTGCACGTCGCAGCGATCGTGACCAGAGGAGGAAGCTGAAGCAACACGGGATTCGTTTGCTCAACTTTTCCATAAAATCAGTTTATGATTCAGCCTATCTGCTTTCATTAATTTCCAATTAGGAAAAAAAAAAAAAAAGAAAAGAAAAGAAAGAAAGAAAAAAAAAAAAAAAAGAAGAGAACAACGCCGCGGCTGTGCGGTGCAGCTCCGGACTGCATACGGCCGCGGGCTGCCGGCGTGGGAGCAGCAGCACAGCTGGAGCGCTGCCGGTGGGGCTGCCAACCCGCTGCGGGGGCTGCACGGCTCCGGGAACCGGGGATCCCCTCCCGAACGCAGCGCTCTGCCCCGCGGGGCCGGGGGTACGGCTCGGGTACGGGCACGGGAGGCAGGGAACGCAAAGGCATCGCCAGTGGTGACTTCGGAAAGCCCCGCGCAGACCTCGCGCCGCGTTCCCCTTCCCCAGCGCTTCCCCCGCCCGCCTCCCTCCGCTCCCCGGCCCCGGACTCGAGCACCGCGCGCGGAGCGGAGCGCCCTTCTCGCAATCGGCGGAGGGACGAGATGGGGCAGCGCGCAGACGCGCATCAGAACCGGCATTAAACCCTTCCCGAAGGACAAACCGAGCCACGCGACCGCGCGCTGCTTAACGCCGTTACGGACGCACGGCAGCACCCGGGGCCATTTACTCCCGCGGTGAGGACGGCTTCCAGGCAGCCCCGTCCCGCCGCTCACCTTGTTGGAGGCCATCTCGCTGACGGAGCGGTACGTCTGGATGGTCTCCAGCTGGTCCAGGCACCAGTCGAGCTCCTCCAGCGTCTCCATGGCCAGCTTCTGGTAGGGCTCCTCTGCGAACAGGCACACGGACATGTAGTCGGGCTGTCGCGGCGGCAGGCTCTCCATTCCGGGGCCTCCCGAGCCGCCCGCCGCGCTGCCGGAGGTGCCGCTCCGCTCCCTCATCATGCGGCTGCTGCGCTCCGCCGCCCGCCCGCCCGCAAATCCCCGCCCGCCGCTGCCGCCCGGCCCCGGGCCCCCGCCCCGCCCGCCCCGGCCCGCCCCGATCCGCGCCCCGCGGGGACGGCCCGCCACTGCCTGCCCCGGGCGCTGCCCGCCCCGCCGGCACCCGGCCTGCCCCGGCCTCGGCTGCTCCTGCCCCCCCAGCCCCGTTCCCCGACTTCGTCTGCTCCTCACTACGTCTGCTCCCCAGCTCTGCTCCCCGCTGTCACTTTCTCCCGCTCCCCAACTTCCCCTGATCCCGTGCCCCCAGCTCCCACTGTCATTTTGTCCTGCCTCCCAACCCCGTCTCACCCCACTTCCCAACTTCATCTGCTCCTGATCCCCAGCCCCGCTCCTTACCATCCAGCTCTGCTCCCCAGCATCATCTGCTCCTGCTCCCCAACTAACCTGGTCCTGCTCCCCAACCCTGGAAGCTTTGACCATCATCTTCATCAGCCCTGTACTCTGGTGGTCAGCCTTCCCAGTACCATCCACCCAGAAGCCCATGTACCCAACTCTACCAGACCCGCTCACCAACCCTCCCAGTCTTGCTTCCCAACCCTACCAGTCCTGCTCCCCAACCAAATACAGCCTTCCCTCCAGCAATTCCCTCCAGCCCCACTTCCCAACACTATCAGCCCTGCTCCCCCTGCTCTCCAACACTTCCAGCTCTGCTCCCCCAACCCCACATGCTCTGCTCCCCAGCCCTTCCAAGCTCTGTTCCCGAACCCCGCTGGCCCAGCTGTTCTGTGTTGGTTCCCAAACCCAGCACCCTGCTCCCCCCAGCCCCTGCCCACAGCCCCACCGAGCTCTGATGACCCTGCCAGAATGACAACACGCTCCCGAGAGGCTCTTGCTGTCCAAGTTAAGGTTTACATAAGCGGATACGGTGAATCATAAAATCTCCCGATGAATGTAACCGCTTCTCATAATACCGACGACATACGCTTACCCCATAAATCTGTCCAACTTAATGAGTTCAGTGTTTCTGATGGCACAGGCTGAGCAGGTAACAGTGACATCAGAGGGCAGGATTGCTACGATATACTCGGGATAAGCTATGCAGCACGTATGCTGTGTGTGCAGCCCCCGGCCCCACGCAGGGTGCTCCCATGGGCTCCCCGCACAGCCCCCCACGCTGCTCTCAGCCTTCACCAGGGGAGCACTCCTCATCCTCACCCGGAGCCACAGAGCAGCTGAACCCCTGAGTAAGGGCTGCGCAGGATCCCCACGTTCAGCGTTTGAAGTTACAAAGCAGAAAACTCATGCTGCCAAAGAGAACCTCATGAAAGAGCTATCAGGGAGCACTTGGCACAGCTGAAGAAAAGAAGCAGTAAGTCTGAGCCTCTGTGTCATCAATAGGGATTTTTTTTTTTTTTTTCTTTGCTGTGCTCACAGAGCTCCAAACATGGCAAGTGATCTCTCTCAGAATGCATACTTCGGTGCTACATAAAAGCAGGTAGACACAGCCAAAACATACAGAACTCGAGCATATTCCCCTCTCTTACTGCCCGCTGTTCCCTCTATCAACCACTTTATCATGTAAATTAGTTGAGCTGGAAGGGCTCGAATCCCTTCCAAAAGAAAATGTCTGCACTGATAAAAGTAACAGAGACTAAATCACCCCTTCAGGAGTAGGAAAAAAAAACCTCATCAGGCAAACTAAACAGGGGCTGCCCGTCTGTTTAAATAATGGGCTGCAATGTGTTACCGCAGCGCGGCCATCATTTCAAAGCCGACTTCGAGCCACGGCCGAGGCTGGAGGGGACAGGAGGAGGAGAGCAGCCCTGCGGGGGTCTGCAGCCGTGCCTGGGCTCGGGGCTGCAGGGAAGTCCTGCCGAATCCTGCGTGAAGGTCACTGCTGTTAGCGTTGCCTTTCAGAACTCAGCTGAACAGAACCGGGGCTTTGGGCACATTGTTACCCTCCCCCCGGTCCTGTGCACAGGGACAGATGTTTCCACCACTGCTGGGCTACAGCCCCGGTGCAAACAGCCCCGGTGCAAACCCCACCGGCACCCCTGGGCTCCTCTGTCCTCCCCGGGTTTGGGGCTGTGACACATCTCAACTTTTTTGTATTACAGAACCATATCACAGAACGGCCTGGGTTGCAAAGGAGCACAGTGCTCATCCAGTTCCAACCCCCTGCTGTGTGCAGGTCGCCAACCAGCAGCCCAGGCTGCCCAGAGCCACATCCAGCATGGCCTTGAATGCCTGCAGGGATGGGGAGGCATTTCATTCATTTTCCTAAGTCAGCGAGGTTTATGAAAGGAGGTTCTGACTGCACATCCCTCCCGGTGTTTATCCCTGTCCCACTGTGCCCTGAGCCCAGGTCAGCACCACTGTGACCATGTACAGAGCAGTGGGACAGTGCTGGCCGTGACTGCATGGATAAGGCTGAAGACCTCCCACGTGAAGGTCCCAGTGCCATCAGCACTGCCAGAGCCCCGCTGAGCCCCCTGGGCACCTCGGGTACAGGCAGACAGCAGCACCAGGAGGGACGCAGCCTCCTGGAATACAGCCTGACGTCTTCAGCTGTGTCAGGTTTCCGTCTGTATCGGGGTGTTGCACAACCAAACCCTCACCCATAACATTTCCCCCTCGTTCCCAGGCATGAGGTATCGAGGGGAGCCCCTCCATGCTGGTGGTGCTGGGGCTGGGCAGCGGGGCAACAGGACAGCACAGCTCCAGGCCTCTCCAGGCATTAAAATATAAAATCTTTTGCACTTTGATGCAATTGATTGACTGCTGCAGCTATTCTGCAACAACCTCCCTTTCGGTATTATTCACCATCTCTTCTGTTTCCACCTCAGACTTAACTTCCTCCTGCTGCACAAACAGTCGCTTCTGATGGACTGCAGCTTCACTCGCTGACCTACACGGAGAATGTAAGACCTACAAGGGGCTCCATCAAAAAATACTTTCCACATGGAAAAAATGCCAAGGTAACCTTTTGCAGTGGAGGTGAGAAAGCCAGTCACTGCCACTCGCAGCAGCCCTAAGCCTGTGGGAAAACCTGCTCCATAACAACAGCAAAGCCTGCTGCTCCCTGTGCCAGCGAGACACCTTCTGGCTTATTTACTTCCTTAAAAACCCTAACAATACACATTGTAAGTATCGCCTGCGACTTAGGAGAGGATCTTCACAGAGCCCATTTTTAATTACATAACATTATATTCATTATCCACTGCTGTCAGTGCCGTCATTGTTACAGAAGATAAGAAATGCTGATGAGATGGCAGATCCTCTGTTAATCACCTGAATGACAGATCATTATTTGGGAGCAGTGCAGACAGTGCTCGTGTTTACTGAAGGCTTCATTTATACTGCTCGGCCTTCGACTGCTCACGAATAAGAGCTCACACCTGAGCAGGCAGCAGGCTGGGATATCAGCATGCACACAAAGCCTTTTTTTTTGGAAAACACTGCCCTGGTGGAAGTCCTCCCTGTGGGATCCTCACAGTCCTGAGCCACAAAAGCCAAACCAGCTGAACTCACCTGCAGTGCACTGAGCCCCCCAGGTGTCCTGGTGTAGGTCAGAGAGAAGAGGAAAGGGGACAGGGGACATCCCTGCAGGGGTTCAAGGTGAGGTTGGATGGGGCCCCGGGCAGCCTGGTCTGGTATTACATATGGAGGTTGGTGGCCCTGCATGCAGCAGGGGGTTGGAGCTTGATGATCCTTGGGGTCCCTTCCAACCCCAAGCCATTCTATGATTCTGTGATTCTATAATTCTATGGTTCTATAATTCTGTGATTCCATGGTTCTATGACAGGGGAAAAGGGAAAGGGATAGGAAAAGGAAAAAAGGAATAAAGAGAAAGGAGAAAGGAAAAGGGTGAAAGGGAAAGGGGAAGGAAAAGAAGAAAGAAGAAGAAAGACAAAAGAAGGAAGAAGAAAAGAATAGAAAAGGAAATGAAAAAAAGAGAAAAGGAGAGCGTGATGGCCTGGAGACCGAACAAGGCACGCGGGCGGTCACGGCTCAACAAGCCAACCAAAATCAGATCACTGGCAGTGCTCCTCCAGTCCCCTTCCAGCAGACGAACATGCCCATGGCACGCTGGGGAAGCCAGGTTCGTTACGTGCCCCCAGACAACTCCTAGCAGCGCCGAGCATCACCGCAGCCGCGGGCAGAGCGCGTGCTCAGCAGAACAGGTCCACCAGCAGCAACACGCCGAGACTCGCTGGAGCAGGGCTGAGCACGGGCTGCCAGCCACCCGCCCTCCCCTCCCCGATGCTTCTGCGGTTGTTTACAGATCGTGCGGACATGTTTACATATTTATCCTCAACAATGCCGGGCGAATAACTGACACTACATAATTTATTTGTTTAATGTATCCTGTTAGCGCGCTCATGGCTGCCCGTGAGCAGGGAGCCGTTTCCTTGAATTAAGCCATTGTTCCAACAGATCCTGCAAACAGATTTGAGAAAATTGTTTCGGAGATGGGTTGGAAAATTCACAGGAAACAAAATAAAAGGAGCAGAGCACAACTGCAGAGATTCATTTAACGTCAGAGGTGAATGTTCCTGAGCCTCCTAGCACCAACCTACAGCTTGATAAAGCCCATATCTCCGTAGGACCTCGTACGCCTTTCCACGTTTGAGGTGTCAACCAAGGGCCAGATTTACAACTTTTTCTCAAGCACAAACCTAGGAAAAAGCCTAAAAGGAGGGCAGCCGATGCCCCACAGCAAGACCTCCAACAGAATGAGGTGCCACCAGCAATGCACACACACCATCCCACCTCTGCCTGCGACACTGCTCGGGCGCAGGGCTGCAGTCACCGAGTTATCTAAAATCATGGGAACAGCGGAGTATCTCCATTCACTGTCCCCCCTCCAACATTTCATCGTGTGCAA